AGGCAGTGGAACGAATTTATTATGGACAGCCCGACTCATAATTTGGAGAAAAATGAAAACGATGGAACTCTTGTGTTCTACGATAACGAATCCGGCCTCCTACATAGTTATCGTCTACTGGAAAAATACGCACATTTTCACGACTCACTGCTAAATTCGTTATGTATATTCCGGAAATCCACGTCGGACGCCATCGCCAGACTTTACCAACAGAAAAGCGTTGGCGATGAACTGTGGAATTTATTCCAGGCGGAGGAGCCGTTATTCCGGGAACTTCCTAAATTACCGAAGGGTAACGTAGAAACACTTAACAAACGAATAGGTGACGTTTACCAACAGATACAGAGATGTGAACAAATATACACAAAACACTGACTCGTCCCAGGGCTAAGGAAAAACTGTAAAATTTTACTTAAAAATCTGTGCAATCTCCAACAAGTCAAAATTTATTTACAAATATTTAATTTTTTTAACAATATTGCCGGCAATCATATCAAAATGACTATAAAACTTTGAAAGATGTATTTATTTATTGTTGTTATTATTATTATTGTTTTAGCTGCAGAACAAATTAATATTCTAGGATTTGAAAATACCTATTATAAAGTGACGAAACAAAAATGGAGAATGTATTACCCGGCTCCAAAATTTCACATAAATGGTTTGACATGAATCTCTCTGTTTGAATGTGATATTTTAGTCACGGTGGGAAATCAAATACAATCGGTCACATTTAGGTTTTTTACATCAATTGTGTGCCGTTTTCATAACACTGTCATATAGGAGAATATTAATCACGTGCTTTCAGTAATTATCGGTGCAAATTTCAATCAACTCGGTGTAATTCGTCTCTGCCTCTTGTTGACCTTTTATTTGGATATCATCAGTTTCCAAGGACATGTCGAGTTTACGTCAAAGGGCGGTGTGTACATAATACGTGTATTTGCATTCACCCAAAAAATATCACAAATAATAATATTGGCGAGCTTCAAAGAAGCATTTAAATCTGTTTCCCAAAACCAGAGAGAGAGGGAGGTTTGAATAACCCGGCGGCCATCTTGGAAAATAGCTTTTAAATTAATTTAACAACAACACCGATGTGAAAATCCATTGTTTCGTTCAACCTTTTTTTTTACTCATCCACTGTTAATGTCGCCCACTTTTCACGACATAGATTATTGGCATGGGTCACAAATTCGAATATTTCAATGTACAGAACAAATGTATACCCGATATTAAAATTAAACCCAGATACGAACTGAATGTTTTCTCTTGGAGTCTTGTTTTTCCATCTCAAATTAAAGTTAAATATTACCCATATATCGATTGTCGTTGAAACCCCAACACAATGTTGGTATTTTGTTATCTGGGCCCAAGCAATGTAAACACTCTTGTTACAGTAATATTTATCTACGGGCTACAGGTTGAAGGGTGTCTTGCCGGGCAATGGACAATTGAATTGTTTGTTCATGCACTTGTGGTCTTTCACTTCAGTATTGTCCCACATCCTTCTTCGATATTAAAAAAAAATATGTCTACGTCTTTATGTGATACAAACCCTTTCGGTTAAGTTGTTGGAATAAGCATTAATCTTCAATTAAATTTAAATTTATTTCTGCCTTGTATCATCTGGACATTTATTTTCATTTTTATTTCATCCTTAATAGCTTAGGTACTAAGGTCTTCTTTGATACTTACGTATGTCCTTTCTTTATGGGAGATGATCCTGCTCAATTCATCGAAGGAGCCATAAATCTTTTATTCACATATCTATGTATATTTATTGCATTTTTGTTCACTTAGGGGGTTCTCTTCACCATTCATTAACTTTGTCCCAATTTATTCTTCGATACATAAATATGTCCTGCTTTTACGCGAGACACACCTGGAGTCAGTTCATCGAAGCAGTCATTAATCTTCGATTCAATTCAAATTTAAGTTGTTGTTTTACTTTTCGTACATTTCAGCAAGATAGGTAAAACAATGACGTGCAAAATTAACACCAAACGAAGCCGCAATCATAATTAAATTTAATTATAAAATAATATATATTTCTTTTACAAATTTTACCATATTTAATTTTAGAAAGTAGTAACTAATAGCAGAAATGTGACCATTTGTATCATATACCGGCCTTCGTGATAGAAAATGAACACACAAAATAATTGGGATGCTCTTGTTAGGTATACGAAAATAGCAACCAGACAGTTGGAAAATGGAATTTTGGTTGAGCAAACATTAATTTTCCAGCTATTATATTATCATATATTATCATAAAAAATGTCACATGACATATTACTATGTGTTTAATCATTTTGGTACGTCAAATTGATTAAAATTTAATCAACAATTCGGTGAAACAAACTTAGCTCAAGTATGAAAAAGAATAACAGTAATATAGAACTGTGTTTAAAAACAATAATTACATGTCTGTTAATATGAAGGTGTACATTTGTAATCTCATCAAAACTTGCTCGAGACATGATGTATACTGTTTTCTAATTGTCTGTCTAATTAACATACACATTCGCATCATTATCAATTAAGTAAAGGATAATTTTAATTTATTCGAGTTTTATCTCGACGTAAATAAATGATTGCATTATTATTCTTGAATCTGACCCGTGGCCCAGGTTGCTGCGATCATATTTAGTAAGTTATGATGATGTCACGTTCCGAGATTCGCACATTCTCTTCACGACCGGAAGGTTCACTCACAATGGGCGACACAACTCCCATCGATCCCCATGGTCCCAGTGAGACCCCATTGAGCGTACTAGACGGAAAATAACGGGTCAGTGACAAGCACGTAAAGTGCACCGAGTTAATAAATTCATTTTGAATTATCGTGCTAGTCTAACAAGATAGTTTATAATTAACTTTTAATCTTCACTCGCCATAGCACCAGATAGTGTTTTGTGAATACTGTAAAATACTTTATTTTACCTGGAATTAATTTTCGCTGACATTTGTTGGGTGTTTTATTTTCACTAATGTTTGATGAGTTGAAAGTAAAATAGGAAAAATGTATATTCGCTGGATTTTATTTTTATTTAATAATCCTTTGGGCAAAAATAGTGAAAATAAAATTAATCCAGGCCGGCGCTACTAGTAGTTTTTCGCTGCCGCTGATATAATGTGCTGCACATCGTAGCGTCTTTTAATGAGTCTTTCAAGTGTGTTGATGTCATCATAAGTGGACCCGCAGCAAACAGTTTGTTTTGTTACCTTTTTTCCGAGTTGTTTATCACGCCAACTAGTACCAAAATGAATGCAATGCCGCTTCAACCCTTATTCCCACGTCCAGCTTCTTTGTGTAGTGGTCAAAAACGTGCGAACAACGTTATCTCCAACTGCGTCGCTTTCTCGCCTCTTTTAAAACTAGGTTTGAATAACACAGCAAGTAGAATGAGCTCATTCCAGTCACGTGACTTAAATAATAGAAATACCCCACAAAAGAGGAAACTGTCACCGGTTATCAACGAGGTGGTTTGAGAAAATTGTCAGTTGTTCACTGGCAAACACGTTCTGTAAACAACGCTAGGGTTCTGAATGGTTTGAGAAGAGACCACGCTACGCTACCGACTGGCTGGGTGTTGACTTTCGCCCAGTTAGCCCCGTTATTCAAAAGTATCTTAGAAAAAAATAATGCGATATTGCGTCGGTAAGCCCCAGACATTGAAATGTAAAATGAATTCTTTATGATTTGTAGCCCGCGTGATGTACGCCGGACCCTCGTGAACGCACGGCCAGATTTGGCGGTTTGAATTATGAGTTCTCGAAACGGTGGAATCGAACACTCACTTAGTCTCAGTCCAGTTTCTATTACACCCCTTTTTAACCTTGCATATGACAATAGTTGATGATGTTATCCAAAATTTCTAGTTAACCACGGAGGTGAAAATTGATTTGTTTCTTCTACATATGTTGATAAAACTAAATATGGCCGCATGTACGATTGTGTTTGTCGCACACACAGTGATGTCTGCTGTAAGTTATGTGTGAAAGCATAATATAGCGAAATATATGGTGTTAACAGACTCATTTGTCAATCTTCAATACACCGTGCTTACATTCCAAATTTTTGCGATTTGGCTAATTATCTTCACGTTTCATTTTGGTTCTAAAACCAGACACGGTTGAGATAATGTAGCGTCAGGCATTCGATTGATAATTGTTTTTTTGCCTTACAGTAATAGGTTTAGTGTAAAGGGTTGACAGTCAAAGGCGTTGTAAATTACT